GTTAAGTTGTGTGTATTCATCTCAGCCTTTGGAATCTGTTTCACTTGCCTACCCGCAGTTTGCTCACCTGTGTGCAGTTTTCAGGTAGCCCAAACAAGGGTCATTGAGCGGTGAACGATGGGCTTTTCCTTTTCTCATCCTCAGACGTGCTTTCTGTACCGAGGGCACCCTGTGCAACCTCAGTTGTCTGTTATCAAATTATGTTTCTGTTACTTCGTCCTGTGTAGGCACCAAAGATACATTCATAAACAGTTTTCTTTGTTTCTTTTTATTTTAAAAAAGGCAAGATTTATTTTTTCCCATAGCAATTCTATTATTACTTGTTAACACACTAAATTTTCTTGAACATGGATTCATGATATTTTTAAAGGATCATTGCAAGAATTATTGACTGAATTTCTACCTTGCACAAGATTCCAGGCTAGTCCCTTCCTTCCAGAAAGTGCTTTTAGATACAGAGACAAAGCATATATAAGATTAGTCATCAAGATGGTAGACAGGAATACAGACCTGTGGTTCTTACAGTCTCCAGAGCAGCATCAGCTGAGAACTTAGAAATGCAATTCTCACGTGTCATCCTAAGCCTACTGAATCAGCAGCCTTGCAGTGGGGCCCAGAATTCTGTGTTTTGACAAGTACTTCTAGTGATTTTGATCAATGTCACTGCTTGACAGTTACTGGCTTAGAAAATACTTCTTGCTGAGGGAAAAAAATCCACCATATTGCTTGGGAGGATATGAGGTGTGTGGAGCTAGACTTGCAAGCTTTGGGAATTTATAATTTTAGAAGCAATTACTGGCAGGAAATACTGCCAGGAAGTTAGTTCCTGTTGAGACATAATAGCAGCAGGCTTATGTCTTTTTTACTGGCTTGCTTATCAAAGTATTTCTTCCCCTTTGTTTTTATATTTTCCCAGACAGTGTTAAAACTATTATTAATGCTTTCACTTTCTGTACCAGCTTGGACTTGTAAATCTATTTATAAAATATTGTAGGATATATATATA